CGTTTCTGGAGATCACAAATTATGTAGCCAGACATACGCAGAGATGTATAGTAACGAAGTAAAACTACTTTACTACTGTTCTTGAGTACTAAAAGGCTGTATCTGTACTCTACTGGAGAATTGTTTTTTTTCCCTCCTACTTCCACTTTTACTTAAATACATATTTTCTATGATTTTAATACTTTTACTCAGCTAGATTTTTTATGTGCTGCATCATTACTCGTTACTGGGCATGTCAAACTTATTGATATCGGTTCAATAATAGATCATAACCGGTTATTACGTACTGATGTCACTTATCTCCTATGCGCGATGTCGCAATACTATGGCAAAGGAGTCGAGGGTGAGGAAACAATGCTCTTACTACAATGAAGGCGGCACAGCACACGAGCCGCTATTTTACTACGGAGAAATGCTGTAAAACTCCATCTCTGCCCCTCTCTCTCTCAATTTGGACATTTGACCACCTGGCCTGTTTGTGAGGTAGCTTTTCCTTAATCAAATACATCTTAATAAACTCTGATATGTAATTCTATGAATTGCAAAATGGAATATTTGCAAAATTGTTAAAATTGTAGGTTTCAAGATTTTAATAAACTACTTTTTGGATTAATTAAACTTTAACCTTCAAAATTGAATCTGGAAATAAATGAAATATTGTTCACAGGGCCCTATAAAACTATTTACTTTTGGTATATGGTAAATCTTATATGGTATTGTCTTGCATGTCGTTAATTACAGTAAACGTGACTTTCCCAGAATTCCCTATTTGACACTTTATAGTTTACTTTGACATTGCTGTGACTCTTTTTAGTTTTTTTTGTCATCATTGATGTACTGTACATTAGAGTTTTATGTTACAGTACATCTAATAATGATAAATAATGTTTGTTGCATTTCTTTAGTGTCACATGTGTTGTTGTCGTGATGGTGTTTAGTAGTTGTGTGAATGACACTAAGCACCTTCCACAGTATATATTAGCATGCTTCTCTACCTGTGTATAAGCTGTTTGTGATGAGCACTAGCTCATCATTTGACTGTCTTATCACCATCTGCCTTTGGTGGGGTTTCTGTAACAAAGGTACAATTAATAAAAGACGATAGTTTTAATATGAATCCTAAGGTATTCATTTTAAGGTTTATCTACTGTATTTTTAAACTGTAAAATCCTGGCATCCACAGCTGCAGATCTTAATGTAAATGTTAATTAAAACTGTACAGTGATGTTGTAACATTGAGGAGTTGAGGATACACGTGCAGTTTATTAATAAGAGTAGTCAGACAGGCAATGGTTGATAGATACAAACAGCAAAAACTGCAAAAGTTCAGGACAGGCAGCAAGGAATTGCCAGGAACAATAAACAATGCAAAGATCAAAACCAAAGCAGGATAAACAGGGAAAATGATTAATAATGCTTTACAAAGAAAAACAAGACTCAGCAATGTGTGTGTGCTTGAGAGGTGAATGTATAGTTTAGTTAATCAGTCCATGATGAGTTACCAGCTGTGTGTGTGTCAGTGTCCAGATGAATGTCAGCTGTGGCATGAGTGATTGCAATGAACTTCTAGGATTGTAGTTCATATAGTGGCAAAATTGTAGTCCGGGTGATCATGAATGTTTTCCAGTGATCTGCAAAGCCTAGATCGCTGGTGATCATGACAGATGTATTTACAGACTAATCCACTATAGAGGGGTTCAAAATTAAGTTTGCCATTCACTTCTTTGGTATGCTACCTTAATTTACAGAGAAACATGGATTTCAAAGTAGCTCCAAGTGTATATGTTTGATTTATACACATTTACAGTCACTTGGTGGTGACCCTAAACATGTTTATCAATAATTTAATAAATAATTGTACATTTTTAACAACTAAATTAATGAGGCTAATTAAATTAACTCTGAAATCTGAACTCACAATATTTTTTTTAAAAGCAATATCACAGTGTTTTTTGTAATGTATATAGACAGTTGTATTTGTATCTGTATTTGTTTTCGGTAAGGACATGATGGGATTTTTAGTTTTCAGGCAAAGCATCTTTTAAATTGGAATGTGTACATTATTAAGGTAACTTCATGGTTCAACATAAAATAGCAGTGACATTTGTGTAAAGTGTTCCATGCACAAATGAGACAGTAACGCCCTGCACCCCTCCGAGTACTCACTTTAAGTGCTCTGCCCTTTGGAGTGAGCAGGACACAGTGGTGTTCACTATGAAATTGAATTCACCCATATTCTCTCTCCCTCAATCTCCTCTTCAGTCCATCCACTCAGTGATTAGAGTCGAGTCAGTGTCCTGACATAACCAGTTAAATGGATCAGATGCCATTTTGAGAGTCTCAGTAAGTGCCCCCTGCAGCAGTTGTCCACTGCAGAGAGAGAGCGCGTATGTGACCCACTAATCGCATATTAACTGCTAACACCGCTTTAATTGGTTGCCGATAAGTAGCCTGCACCATGTGTGCTAAAGCTAAAGGCTAATTTTAGCCTATTATATTTTGGCATAGGTTCATTGGGTTGAAGATCTGACTCTAATTCTAGCACTGTGTTGGTTTTGAGAGCGCCGGAGGTTTTAACATCAACGCACATACATAGCCAGATGTTCAGCGATGTAGATGCTGAGACTTAGTCTTTTCTCATCCCTTCTGCCCCGGCTCTATTTTTAAAAGCAGCGTCTCGTTAAAGCCTTTTAGGCTAATCAGGCTGAGTTCGACCACGCTTCACACTTGCCCAGCGCACCTGCGTTTGTCCCACATATTTGCCCGCAGAAAGCCGCCATTTGGCCTGCAATTGAGTAGGTTAATCCCAACGCTAGCAAAACATCAGGCTAGAATTAAGCCAGCGTTTAGCCTGAATCAATCCAAGATTGAGATCGACAAAAGCGAGTATCATTAGGCTAGTGTGTTATCAGCATCAGGCCAAGATTAACCCAGTCTTCAGCCAATGTTAGTCTTGCAATTAGCAATATTTGTCCCGCCATTCATCCAGCATACACCCAACAATCAGCCAAGTTCTGCTCGCCTTTAATCTCTTCCAGTCCAAAGCTTGGCCAGCGCCAAGCCAGCATTTGCCCAGCATTCACTAAGCATTAGCGCTCCATTCAAGCTTCCATTAGCCTAACATTCAGACAGCACTTCGCCCAGAGTTCATCCAGCACCGGTCAGCATTAAAAAGGTCATCGATTATAACCTAAGTGGTAATTATTGGGTAAAGTGGAGCATGGGCCGCCCAGGGCTGAATTATCATACAGCTAGACTCACACTGGCATTACATCTGGCCTTTATGCACACACACACACACACACACACACACACACACACACACACACACACACACACACCCAGAGACCCACAGACACATTTCCAATATAATGAGTTAAGTTGTCATCTGTTAGATGCCTGAAGGGCTTTACATGGTTTGCCTCAAACCCTAATCTCCACTAACAGTACGCAGCCTATATAAAACCACAAAACTTGATGATGGTTTTAAAAAGTAAGTAGTATTTGGCTTCACAAATCCTACCATAATGTCATAATTCTAGAATGGCTGTGCTTGGTGCTTGCCAAGGGGGTTGGTGTGTCATTTCTAGGGTATTCTGAATGGTTCTCAGGATAGTATCCAGTTGCTTGGTTGTTATATGAGGGGTTGCCAGGGTGTTGCTGTGGAGTTGCTAGTATTTTCTGGTTTGTTGTCAGGGTGTTGCTGTGCAGTTGCTAGTATTTTCTGGTTTGTTGTCAGGGTGGTGATGTGCAGTTGCCAGGGCATTCTAGGTCATTCTCATGGTGTTGTGGTGCATTTGCTTAGCTGCTGTGGGGGTTGCAGATTGTGTTACTCTGCAATTGCCAGATTGTTGTGAATGGTTGTTGTGAATGGGTGTTGCCATATGATGTTGGTAGAGTATATTTTGGGCTAATCATCAGGGTGTTGCTATATGTTTGCGAAGGAGTTCTGAGTCATGCTCAGCCTCTTCTCAGGCAGCTACTAGGGTGTTCTGACTGGTTTCCTGGCGGTTGCATTGCTAAGTCTTGTTTTTGTATCCACCACAGTGCAGATACAATTTAAATTGTATTTATATTTAAGACATATTTATTTATTTAAGGTCATAGTATAAGTCAGATGATTTGTTTCAGTTGTCTGTATCATACATAACGTAGACCACGAACATGCCAAAATGTCATACTTATACGCCTTACTTACTTACTCCCAGGGCTTTTTTATATATCGAAGATGATATTTAGCCACACCATATTGGTGTTTCGTAACATCTAGATTTTATGACGTGGGTTGTTAGCAAAAACGCTCAACCCTCAACCTGGAGGACCAGTACCTACACACATACACTACGGACAATTAAGCTGACCCAATTCACCCATAGCGCATGTCTTTGAACTGTGGGGGAAACCGGAGCACACGAAGGAAACCCACGTGAACACGGGGAGAACATGCAAACTCCATACAGAAATGCCAACTGACCCAGCCGGGACTCAAACCAGCAACCTTCTTGCTGTGAGGCAACAGCGCTACCCACTACGCCACCGTGTCGCTTTTATTCCTCTTAAAGCTCATAAATATTAGATATGAGTTTTTGTAAACACTAATTTCATATCATCTGTTAAAGTGTGTTGTTTCACTTTACAAGCTTGTAAAGATCAGCATATGTCACATATTTTAATAGTCATCATACCTGTTCAATTTCATTCCTCTATCTTTTCTTGCAAATTGTGGTCTTTGATTTTCTTTTCTGGCGACTCCTGCAGTGTGAGGTGGAGGCAATGATAATGATGCTATTTTCATTTTTTTTTTTCTCATCAAGAAATACACAGCGCTGCTCTCAAAGATCATGATGATGGGGACGAAGCATCTAATTTTCACCTAAGTCTCGCTCTCATTTTCTCCCTGTCTCCTTCTCCCTCCGTCTCTAACTATATCTCATTTCATGATGTCATCTTGTTTTTTTTTACTCTAATATCTGCTCATTTACCTCTGTCCTGTTGCCCAGATGATGACCCCTTTCAGCCGGTGACCCAAGATGAGACGGTGGCAGTGGGCGGGGTGGTAACCCTGACCTGCGGCGTGAAGGAAAATGATAACTCCTCCCTCCAGTGGTCCAACACGGCCCAGCAGACCCTGTACTTCGGAGAGAAAAGAGGTGGGTCTCACCTATTTTAAAACCTACTGTAATCTACTGACCCTCGTGTTCTTATAAAGCTGGTGAGGATGCATAAGGACAAGGCTGGCAATAACCCACTCAATATGATGGCTGGTTCCCCCTTATCAAATTATGGTTAACAAAATCTGCAGCAACTGCATGATGCTTTCATGTCAATATGAAGCAAAATCTCTGAGGAATATTTCCAGTACCTTGTTGAATCTATGCCATGAGGGATTAGGGCAGTTCTTTAAAGCAAAAAATGGTCCATCCGGTACTAGTAAGGTGTACCTAATAAAGTGGCTGGCGAGTATAGCATTGATCACAAATAATTTTAACGTTCTGCTTCTTTATAGTGTGTATACTGTATAGTATGTAAACTGTTTACATGTACCATATTTAGTTTGGTCTCTACCTGAAACACAAACAAAGATGTTTTGTAGCATGTCCTGGCTGCTCTTTTCCATTACAGTTTAAATTTTATACATATTTATTGAGCTAAAAGTCATAGCTAATAGTTTGTTAGTAGTCAGAATTGTACACAAAGATAAAGTGTGACCGAAAAATCATGCATGTATGAAGATACTCAAATACAAGAATGAATGTAAGACGTAAAAAGATCCTGGTGGATGAACATTGATCTTCCAGTTGTGCGCTTCTATTCTATAGTGAATTATATGGCTGGGAGTCTAAGCAATCAATCAGTTTCAAAGTGTAAAACAGTCCCTGATTGGTCTTTACTCGTAGTCCCTAACCATTATAGCCACCTACCTGAGATCCAGTTTCGATTGATTGAACTTCAGGCTGTCCTCTAAAGACGTTAGAAAGCACTGCATCATCACTGCGACATGATAAGATCCTGTTTTTAATTAGCAAATTACTCCATAAGAATTCTTTCAATGTTTGTGCATTCAGGCTCATATGAATTGAAAATACTATCGTTTACTACTGTAATGTTTGGCTCAAATGCCATATCTTTTTTTTTTCTTAGGCAATAAATAGAGTGGATTGACAGTACATTTTAGTAACAAAACAGCTATCAATAATATATAAGCATGTACAAAATGCATTCCATAAAACACCCACCCTTCCCACTAAGAAATAATTGAATTGATAATTGAATAAATTAAAGTTTATACTTACTTAACTGGAACACTGTAAATAAATGATGGGTTCCACAAATTAAGTTAATCTAATAATTGTTTCAAATTTAAGTGGATTGAACATAAAACAGTTAAGTTGCCACCCCCCCCCCCCCCCCAAAAAAAAAGAATTGTGTTGTTTCACCTCATTTTAAATAATAATAAATAATTTTCTATTTTTTAATTATTCATATAAATAAATATTTTTCGAAAATAACTACTCCTGCCTGAGGTAATCGGCTCATAATCCTTATAGGGGATATACACTCACTGGCCTCTTTTTTTAGGTACACCTGTCCAACTGCTTGTTAACGCAGATTTCTAATCAGCCAATCACATGGCAGCAACTCAATGCATTTAAGCATATAGACATGGTAAAAACGACCTGCTGCAGTTCAAACCGAGCATCAGAATGGGAAAGAAAGGTGATTTAAGTGTCTTTGAATGTGGCATGGTTGTTGGTGCCAGAAGGGCTAGTCTGAATATTTCAGAAACTGGGTACAACTCCTGTCAGCTGAGAACAGGAAACTGAATCTACAATTCATACAGGCTCACCAAGGTTGGACAATAGAAGATTGAAAAAATGTTGCCTGGTCTGATGAGTCTCAATTTCTGCTGCAACATTTGGATGGTATGGTCAGAATTTGACATCGACAACATGAAAGTATGGCTCCATCCTGCCGTGAATCAATGGTTCAGTATGGTGGTGATGGTGTAATGGTGTGGAGGATATTTTCTTGGCACACTTTGGGCTCATTAGTACCAATTGAGCATTGTGTCAACACCACAACCTACCTGAGTATTGTTGCTGACCATGTCCATCTCTTTATGACCTCAGTGTACCCATCTTCTGATCGCTTCTTCCAGCAGGATAACGCACCATGTCATAAAGAGCGATTCATCTCTCAGACTGGTTACTTAAACATGACAATGAGTTCACTGTACTCAAATGGCCTTCACAGTCACCAGAGCTCAATCCAATAGAGCACCTTTGGGATGTGGTGGAATAGGAGATTTGCATCATGGATCAACTGTGTGACGCTATCATGTCAATATGGACCAAAATCTCTAAGGAATGTTTCCAGTATCTTGTTGAATCTATGCCATGAAGGATTAAGGCATTTCTGAAGGCAAAAGTGGGTACAATCCGGTACTAGTAAGGTGTACAGTACCTAAAAAAGCGTCCAGTGAGTGTAGCTTTGATCAAAATTTTAAGTCTCTGCTTCTTTATAATGAGTATACTATATATATAGAATGTATACTGTTTAGTTTGGTCTCTACCTGAACCGCAAACGAAGATGTTGTGTTCCATGTCCTGGCAAGCTCTTTTCCATCACAGCTTCAATTTGTCTATAAAAGTGAAAAAGAGCTGAAGCTGCCTATGGCTCCAAAAATATGAGAGGTCTACATGTTTTAAACTCTCTTCTGAAGCAGTTATGTGAAAAGGAAAGTCATTTATTTATTGAGTAGCAAACTCTCATTTGGTCACGCTGAATCCTGTTTACTAATCTCTCTTTTTCAAAATCCAATAAGCATTTAAGTACATTTATTTATATATTTTAGTAGACTATCTAGTTTGCCGCACACACACACACACCAAAAAAAGGTGTCAAATTACAGATAAAGCGGGTTGTAAGCGGCGATTCACATTGACTTTAGCAAATGGACATTTTATGACCTCTCTTTTGCTCAATCGCTTTTAAGTCTGTAGTCTGTGATTGCAATTACTTGCCATTTCGCTCCGAACAGGAAATTGATTTTCGTCGGACCCTTCCTTAGAGATTTTCCCAGAGCTCTTAGTCCCTCAACACCGAACACAAGAAAGAATGCGCGAGACACCTTGCTGAAACATTAATATCACCCTAAAAACAAACAGGTGGCTCCGTGATAACAGAAAACGAGGTGATGGAGAGAGAGAGAGAATGGAGGGGTGACCTGATTAAAGAGGAAAACAAAAGAAGGCGACAAGAGAGCACCGTGAAGAAGCAGAAATAGAAAACAGTCTATTGAATGAAAAGGATGGATGGAGCGTTAAAAGAGGGGAGAAGAGAAATGCAGACACAAATGTGGCACCTTAAAGCGATATAAATGTTCTTTATATACGGAGGAAGAGTTTCCAATTAAGTCCATTCGTCTGTCCCAATTGCAGTCAATCTGAATTTAGTGTGGTCTATGCTTAAAACAGGACAAAAAACAATTAGCGGTGAGAAATAAACTCAATTCGTGATAAATTCTTTGAAAACAAATCTCATTATCTCACACAATTTTGCTTCTCAAGTACATTTATCTCGTTTGAAGGATGCTTGGATATTTGGAAAGCCAAATACGGATTTTTAGCAGTGTGGAAACGAGAGCTCAGTTAAAGGTGAACAGTAGCACACAAGTGTGAAGAGATGAACAGATTAGTGTGGGGGGACGATGGATGGGTGGATGAGCGAAGAGAGATAAAGTGAGGAATGACAAAGGAGGAGTGTGTGCATGAAAGAGCAGGATGGAGGACAGAGGAACAGCAGCTGATGAAGACAAATTAAGTGCCCTTCACTTACTGATAAAGCATGAAGCGCGCGCACACACACATTTACTGTAAATCTGCTTTAGACACAAGTTCTCCTTTTGTTCAAAGGTGAAGTGTGTGATTTCTGCACCATTAGCAAAAATAATAACTTTTCAGACAAGTTTTCCCCATCATTGCCAGCCTGTTGGGTCAGACAAACACAGACGGGGGAGGGGCTTTCTCATTCAGAGCAACCGATTGGACAAAATCTGTAAAGTGCATGATGAGTCATGAAGATGACAGTGCTGTTATTTAAAATAAATTTACATTAAAATAAAATATAATTGTTTTCTAAAAACTTACCAGAAATAAAATACTCGTAGCAGTGCGATATGGCTGTATATCAGCACTGGTGGGATGTGTGCATTGGTTCGAGGCTGCAGGCTGAGTGCCTTAGGGCCTATTCACACTATGCCATCCGTACCGTGCCGTGGCCCGTTTCCCGGATCGTTTGAGAAGTGTGAGTGCGCTGAATCGGGCTCAAGCACGGTTTACTTGGCCGGCCCTGGCCGGTTGGAAGAGGTGTGCCTGAGCGCGGTTCACTTGGGCTTTGGCACTGTAAGCTTGTGTGTGAGTGCAAAACGCGCCGAAGCCCGAAACTGAAAGCGAGACGTGACTTTTAAAGGACTGTTTCATATAGATTTATTAATCATTCTTACTGTTCAGTGAATGCAAACTGCCGTAGTTTATTAAAGACGACAACTTCTCACAGCACGACAGCTGCGCGGCTTCAGCAGACCTCCTCATTCCTGCAGCACGAGAGCTTTATGATTGTTTATGAGCGCCAAAAGTGGCGGATCTGTTCGGCGAAATATCTGACTGCGTGTCACCGCATCCCTAAGGACTGTTTGGTGAAATATTTGACTGCATGTCACTGCATAACAAACGACTGAAACGATATACATGTACCTAAAGAAATCTCCACTGTGCTGCTGAGTGAGAGAGTGCTTCTCACTGAACAGCGCAGCAGCGATGACGTAAGCGTGCCGAGGCCCATTTGTGGTGTGAGTGCGGGCCGTCGGGGGAGACGGGAGGGGGGACAAGCGTGCTTTGGCCCGGTTCGAGGCAACTGTACCTAGTGTGAGTATGACCTTAGTGTCCCACCATGATGGTATACAACCATATCGCACTGCTACGAGTGTGATATTCCATTTATACAACAGTTCGATAACATAATCGTGTATATCAAAAACACAGAGTCTCAAAAAGCCTTTTGTAAGAGGAACTACTTTCATCCACCATTCTTTCACATCTGCAGCTGACGTCAGAACAGCAGAAGCCGTTGCTACTTCACACACGTCACCTTAGAGCTATTATTTATTATGATATTTAAAGGCTTAACTAAGTATTTTATTATATTATTTGAATTATATCATTTGAATGATTCTCTAGCATAATGTCAAATGATGACAAAGCTGGTGATTTTGCTAACTATTTAAGATTAGAAGTTTGATTGGCATGTAACGCCATCAATTAGGAGATCACAATAATTAACCCTGAAATAGCCAAAGCAAAGTAACCACTAGCAGATTACTATAGTATAAATACAGCACTACAAAATATAAGAGAGAGATCGACTTATCTGTTCTGTGATGATTTGTTCAGCTGTAGTTTAAATCTTACGCTATGAAAATCCTGAGTTTTTCCGGAGTATGTCTGATAATATTTTTTCTTCTGGAGAAAGTCTTATTTGTTTTATTTCGGCTAGAATAAAAGCAGTTTTTAATTTTTAAAATACCATTTTATGGACAAAATTATTAGTCCCTTAAAGCTATTTTTTTCGATAGTCTACAGAACAAACCATCATTATACAATAACTTGCCTAATTACTTTAACCTGCCTAGTTAACCTAATTAACTTAAGCCTTTAAATGTTACTTTAAGCTGTATAGAAGTGTCTTGAAAAATACGTAGGAAAATATTATCTACTGTCATCATGGCAAAAATAAAATAAATCATTATTAGAAATGAGTTATAAAAAATATTATGATTACAAATGTGTTGAAAAAAAATCTGCTCTCCGTTACAGGGGGATAATAATTGAGGGGGGCTAATAATTTTGACTTTAACTGTTTGCAGATGTGAATGAATGGTGGAAGAAAGTAGTTCCTCTTACAAAAAGGTTTTGAGACTCTCCGTATTTAACTTTCTTTTTGATATACACGATTATGCTGTTAAGCTGTTATATAAACACATTATCACACTCGCAGCAGTGCAATGTGGCTGTATATCGTCACTGGTGGGAGACAAAGGCACTCGGCAATGCACTGCTCCCACTAGTGCCAATAAACAGCCATATCACACTGCTACTCTTGTGATATTATATTATATATATATATATATATATATATATATATATATATATATATATATATATATATATATATATATATATATATAATGTCAGAATTGTGAGATATTTTATTTTAATGTTGAGAATAAAACATAATAAAACACAATAAAATAAAACAGCTTTCTGATCAAAAAGTCAGAATTTCCTTTTTTATTTATTAATCAGTGGTGAAAACCATAAAAGAGAGAGACTGTATATTTAAATATATAAATCTCTCAGAAGTTAACTTTTTTGAAAGCATAGCATATAAATCTATATTAGCATATAGATGACATTAAAGCTTAGAGACATTTTTTATTTATATTTTATCTTATTTCAAAGTGGAAATTAGGAAATTAGCTTTCTCCTGTAAGATGTAAAATAATACATTTTAACCCATTTTAAGAATGGTTGATCCCTGAGCACTTTAACATGATTGTTCAATGCTCATCCGCTTGGCTTGCTCTAATGAACAATACTGTTAGCCAATCAGAACGTCTGTCATTTACATAATAGATTCCTAAATGTACATTACAAGGCTTGGTTGAACACAAACCTAATCTGAAGCCTGAGGGTCTGCACTGTCATCTCTCTGGGTGGAATCCGTGTAGTCAATATCCAGTGTATCTACAAGGGTTGCTATAGTAATAATGTCAGCATCAGCACGATGCCAAGAGACTTTCTCATACAACAACTAAGAGTAGCTGTCAGTAGAAAGAGAGCACGGAGAACTGGAAAGTTTGCCTGTTCTCGTGTCTGTCATCTCTCTGTGCTGCTGAACTCACCAGATCTGGAAGAGAACAGAGGCGTTTAATGCATTCATGCATACAGTACACTTTCCAAAACTGCTGACTCGTTACGCTGTTCACTACATGGTGAACATCACATGGCTCGCTAGATGCAAGCAAAAAGGAAAGTATTTGGATCAGACAATATTGCGCACTCTGCATGATGTTGTAAACGTCACATTGCTGAATAATAAATGAAAAAAAAGAGCTTTGAAATCTGATCTGACCTTTCAAACTAAGGGGTGTACTTAAAAAAAACCCACACTTTAATTGGATCTCAGAGGCATTGGAACATTGTGTGCATGGGGTTTGTACAGATAAGACTGCTTATGTTCTGTTTTGTTGTTGCTGTCGTCGTTTTGCTTGTGATACAGCAAGGAAATGTAAATGTTACAGAGAGAGATGGTGGAAAGCAATCACATAAATCTAAATCACAATGGTTTTGCTGCCAGATATTTTGACTTGTGTTATCAGCCGACTTCAGGGGAGGGAAATAAAATGCTAAAACTTGTAATGTACGGCACCTATGTAGTGTATGTGTTCCTCTTATCGGTTCTGTCTTTTTCAGCACTGAGAGATAACCGTATCCAGTTGGTAAAGTCCACGGCCACGGAGCTGATAATCACCATCGGGGATGTTCAGCTGTCAGATGATGGAGAATATACCTGTTCCATTTTTACCATGCCTGTACGGACCGCACGAGCCACAGTTACTGTACTCGGTAAGTGTGTATGTGTGTGTGTGTGTGTGTGTGTGTGTGTGCCTTTTCTCTCAGAGTGGGAGCTGTCAGTAGAAATTGCTATTGCTACAGTACATCAAGCCTGTAAGTAGTGATGTGCTCATTCCGATTGCCGATTTGTTTATAAGCAACAGGCCAATTCCAATATCTATTTGTGGTTATTTATTTATTTATTTTTACTTTACATAAATCGTAAAATTGATTCATCCAGTACTTTAAGATAAAAACAACAAAATTTGGCCAAAATGCCAATTCAGTGGACATTATTTGTGTAATTATGAGAGCATGTACACAGAGACAAGGTTCTCTATCTATCTATCTATCTATCTATCTATCTATCTATCTATCTATCTATCTATCTATCTATCTATCTATCTATCTATCTATCTATCTATCTATCTATCTATCTATCTATCTATCTATCTATCTATCTATCTATCTATCTTTCTTTCTATCTATCTATCTATCTATCTATCTATCTATCTATCCATCCATCCATCCATCCATCCATCCATCCATCCATCCATCCATCCATCCATCCATCCATCCTTCCATCCATCCATCCATCCATCCATCCATCCATCCATCCATCCATCATCTTTCCATCCATCCATCCTGTCATTTGAATATATTGTTGTCTATTGTTCTATTAGTGTCTACCATTGTCATTATCCATTCATTTCTCCATCCGTCGTTCTATTTATCATTATCATATCTATTCTATACCTATCTATCCATTCATCCATCCATCTATCCATTCATCTATCTTTCCAATCATTGTCATTTAATTAATCATTTGATTATATTGCTGTATATTGTTCTATCAGTGTCTGCCATTGTCATCCATCCATCCATCCATCCATCCATCCATCCATCCATCCATCCATCTGTCGTTCTATTATCATTCTGTCGTTCTGTTTATCAGTTTGCCATTGGATTCTTTGTCTGTTGTTTTATCTATTCTATACCTATATACATATCCATCCATCCATCCATCCATCCATCCATCCATCCATCCATCATCTTTCCATCCGTCCATCCATCCGTCCATCCATCCGTCCATCCATCCATCCATCCATCCATCCATCCATCCATCCATCTATCTATCTATCTATCTATCTATCTATCTATCTATCTATCTATCTATCTATCTATCTATCTATCTATCTATCTATCTATCTATCTATCATCTATCTGTCTGTCCGTCCATCTGTCCGTCCGTCCATCCATCCATCCCTATCCTTTCACTTCACACATCTATGACTACCATGGGTGCCTTTTTTTTATGGCCTTTCAATTAATATATTTTGTCTCCTCTAAGAGCATGGTTTTTCTATTAGATGATTACGAAAACTCTCAAAGTGATCTTAACCACAAATGGCCAGTTATTGAAATGGTGATGTAACAGACACCATTAGAAAATTAAACTATTGCTGTCATTCAGTCAAACACTGGCATGGGACTGATACTGATGGTTCCTGCTGTTAAACATTTAAAATTTAAATATTAAAACATTGAATTTTCAAATCATGCATTCGCAATGGTGCTTTGGAGGTCAGCGTAGCTGGCAGGTTCAGCGAGTTCTTATGGTGAATGATTTGTCTGTCTGATTCAGACAGATAAATAAGAGTTATTTGTTTATAAGTCAGACTACACTGTTTGTTTGTTTGTTTTTGTGTGTAGGGTGATGGCAAATCAATGTTTTCTTGTAGGCTCCAGACATTTTGTGACCTTTATTGCTGCCAGTGTTACCAAGTTTTGTTAGAGGTCCTGCTTGTGCCGCAACCGTTTTACCTACTGATAAGCGATGACATTCTGTTGCGAGTGAGATACATCTAGGAGCGTAGAAAAAGTGGAATACTAGTTTGCACCACATGAATCAGTTTGGTACAAAAGAAAACACAGCAATGAGCAGACTAAATGCATTTCACTGCACCAGTCATTAACATCAGCATTTAACATGTAGTGAAATCCAGCGAGAAGAGTTTAATAAAAAAAATACAACTTCTTCTAGCTCGAAGCCAAATGAAACAGCACTGACATTCTTCAAAATACTCAGTAGAATTCAGCTGAAAACACAGTCCAACAATGAACATGTCCGAAGGCTTTTTATTGCACATTTCCCATAATTTCTTAAAAAGTCATGGAACATCAGGCATTTTTTATTTGATGTTTTAAATTTTATTTTCCATTTTTCAAAATATCTTTTTTCTATTCCATATTTGGGCGAAGCAGTGGCGCAGTAGTTAGCGATGTCACCTCACAGCAAGAAGGTCGCTGGGTCGCTGGTTCTAACCTCAGTTGGCGTTTCTGTGTGGAGTTTGCATGTTCTCCCTGCCTTCGCGTGGGTTTCCTCCGGGTGCTTCGGTTTTCCCCACAGTCCAAAGACATGCGGTACAGGTGAATTGGGTAGGCTAAATTGGTCGTAGTGTATGAGTGTGTGTGTGTGAATGTGTGTGTGGAGGTTTCCCAGAGATGGGTTGCGGCTGGAAGGGCATCCGCTGCGTAAAAACTTGCTGGATAAGTTGGCGGTTCATTCTGCTGTGGCGACCCCAGATTAATAAAGGGACTAAGCCGACAAGAAAATGAATGAATGAATTCCATATTTTAAGATTGTGCATGCCGATTAGACCACTTTCAGGTCCATTTTAATACGTATATGCTCATCAACTGGCAGTCACTTAAGTCAAATGCAGTCAGCAGACTGTACTTAGTAAGTAAAGCTAACATTAAGGGTAAAGTACATTTTAAGAGCTTTGGCTAATGCTAAATGTATTGCTAAATGTAATGTTTATAAAAACAAGTATTGAGCTATCAAACTTGGGGAAGGAAGCACTTTGCACCAACATTAACAGATTTATTTAAATCAAAACCTAAGGTAAATCTGTCCATCATTGTTCTCATAATATGAATTGAAGGTATTTCAATGTGTTATTATTTTAGCATATTATTTCAATTATATATAATTTAAAAATACCAGGCTTTAACTTTGGTTGAGAAGTGGGGGACACTAAATTGAAGAAAATTTTTTTCATTTTAAATCCCATTACCTGCATTCACATATATAGGGACTATGCTGTACAAAAACAAGGTTAAAACAGGCTGATTAAACACATTTAATTTCAAACTTACCTAAAAAATAAATAAAGAAAAATAATTAAAAAAAAAGAAAAAAGAAAGAAAAAAGTGTGCTGAATCATAATTTTATAATATCAGTTGCAGATTGGCATCAGGAAAATTAAATTCTATTGAAACTATATGAAAATATTGATGTCATTTTATTAATTGTAAAATAAAAACCAAACTATTAGTCTGTGCAGCGCAAAGCACTGAACATTAAATGAACATCTGCAAAATTGGAAACCAATTGCAACAAGCCATTTGAGTTCAAAAACTAATCTATGAGTACTGTGAACTTACTCTATTTAAGTTAAAATAATGAGGTATTTAATTAACTCATTACCTTCAACACTGAGTTCAAAACTCTTTTCAAGTTAGTAGAATTAAATTTCAGTAAATCCTGAGTTAACTACACTCATTTCATTTAGTAAAGTTGACTGTTGGGTTTTACAGTGCAGGTGTAGACATATTTCGTAATGGAAAATATCATTATTCGGAGGTAATATACTGAATCCATGTTGTCATTAAAGTCGTCTTCTGCTGCTGCCTAAGGTTTGCTCATACCTGCTCATTAGAACTTTCACAGAGTTATTTTTAGAGCTGGAATGCAAAGTTATTAGAAACAGACTCTCTCTGTCCATCCATGGCACTCATATAAAAAATCTGAAAAAAATAAAGGAGATACAAAGGGGATTTTGAAAAGTGGGAGAAACATGTCTCCCATTTCCCCAGTGGAAGTTACACTCTTCAATATATAGGCAAAACAGTGGCCTGTTTTTCATGAGATGTCAAGGAAAATCCAGCCTGATCTCACGAGAAGTATTTTACATTTTGTCAGTTTAGTGGCTAATTCGTACGAGTTCAGTCTTACACGTCTTACATGAATGAGATCGTATAAATTAATATAGTTTTGCGACTAAATCAATGTTACGAATTGTCATGAGATTGTGATGGAAATTCAACTTTTTAGCCAGTGAGGTCAGGTATTTTGATATTTGGCTAAAAAGTGGGAACCCTGATTCTACAAATCACCAGCAATTAGCATGGTTTTACCAACAGGAGCCATTGGCAGGAAAAGTGGGATGTTAATATCAACTTATGTTATAATACGAATGTTTTAAATGTATATAATAATGTTAATAAATCATATTACTGTGCTTTGAGGTTTTTATTTTTTATAACAATGTCATAGAAACATAAAGTAAGTCTCACACTTCCACTACTCTCAACTCTCAATCTGCTGTCAAATGTGCATTTCTCAGAGACAAATCTTGATATATTGAATAATGTTAATATTACATGTACCATGCTACCAAATCAGGTGTTAGTGCCACCATCTGCAAAATTTAGTGGCTCTCAAATGTTATTCTGGAGCCCCGACTTGCCATAATTTCTCAGCACAGTCACTTTTGATCAAATTTTTATTCACATTCAATTCAGACCGAAAGGTCACACTGAAAAGCTCACCAAGCCCACAGCACTCTGCAGTATACTGTATATATACTGCGGACTATATATATTTGTGTAACAGTACACAAAAATGACAGTTCAATGCATACTGTTGTTTAGAAGTCACATTGCGGTTTGCTTTTAGTGCTACAGGGAAAAAAACAAACCATGATTTTTGTTGGTATTATTTTTTATTTAACTGGTTTAGTGAACAAACTGTCTTTAAAAAAAGTCTGTCAGTGTTGCAGCATATACACAGCAATTTCTGAAAAAAAGCTGAAATGCTTGGATGCAAAATATGTAGAAAAATATTTGAATTAATTATCACACTTTTGTTCTTATCTGCTTCATCTATTTGATGCACACGAGCGCACCAGTTCTTGTTTATGTGCTTGCTGTCAGAATCATTTTTT